AAGGCATTTTCCCATATCCCCTTCTTTGGTGGGATTGTCGATGAAGCAACGGTAATTTTGTTAGAACAATCGACTTCGCTACTTATTTTTCGTATGTAAGTAGAGTTTCGAGACTTCCAGTAAATCAGTAATATGAAATGTAAGTAGTCAGCTCTACTCATATCATTGTGGGAAAATTGTACTACCAGTCCTACATCACCTCAAACGAAATAGGGTGAATACATCTCATGGTGCTAATATGTTTCCTGACGTCCGAGCCGCCTGTCAAAGGGGCAGACGCCGGTAGTTTTATCTTCTTCTGGCTATTGCCACCTCGGAACTATGTCTCGTACAGGCTTCGGCGACGGTGGCTGGCGCCATCTTCTTGCTGTTGTGTGCGGGCATTGGGCTTAACATCTCTGTGGTCGCGGCCGGTCGTCGTCAGTCTCCTGACGGTAACATAGTGCTCTTCTGCTATCTCTGGTGCGTCGGCTTCTGCCGAAACGATTCATTCCCTCAAGGACTGGCCGTTAAGGCGATTGGTCGCTCGCGACTTCGAGGCCCGTCGCTTGGCCGGTGGTGTCCGGCCGGCCTGGTTGGAGGCCGAATAACTCAACTTGAGTGTTCCCCTCACGCCGGTGATGCAAGGCTTCGCCGACGCCGTCACCTTGGCCAAGTGCCGGCCCGGCCTCAGCGTCGTCGACGAAACCGTCCTACTCGCCGCCCTCGAGGTGGATATTCGACGTCCTCAACGAGCCGTCGTTGGGGCCGAGGCAGACGAGCTCGACGAACCCGCTGTCGTCTGAATAATGCACCACTCCAGCGTCCTCGTCACGCCTCATCATCAAGACTGCCCATGTTGCGCCGGCAGGCTTCGCCGAAAGGCTGGCCGGCCCAGCCTCGACGCCGACGGCAACGGCTTATTTTTCGGGCGTGTGCTTCAATTCTCAACCTCGCTGGCCTCCGCGACGAGGCAGAAAGGACCGAAGCAGGGCAGTTGATGGCCGGTTTGTTGGCTGCTCGCTTTTCCTCCCAATTGGCCGAGCATGTCAGTGGCCAGGACCGGACTGAGAATCCATCTGTTACCATGCCGCTTCGGACGACTTGCTTGTGATCCACTTGACCGCCATGAAGGACCTCGCGACTGCATCGGGTGAGTTCAATGTGAAGCTGGGAAGGAGGATAAAGTGTCGAGTGGACTTTGCCAAGGATGACACAGCATAAGCTAATCTAGAAGTAGGCAACAAGTTCATCGAGCCTGCGGAGAGGTGAACATTGAAAAAACACTCTCCTTTAAACCAAAATGCTTTCCTATTTGGCGACGTGTATTAAATGCAACTGTAGTGTTCGCTAGTTTTTATACCTTGAATTGGCCATGCGGGCATCTTTTTTATTAGCTCTCTATCAGTATTTAATGGCGAAATAAAGTTAATATTCGAAGGTATAAAGACGAAGATGGTGTGGCCTTTTGTGTGGTCGCAGTCTCCTTTCGTTTTATAGAAGTTGTTTGACCTTGTTTTCG